GCCAGTCTGGCGTAAGATACAATCAGACGGCTCGAAATGTGGTTCCTGCTCCTGGCACAAGTCAATCATCCGGACCGCTTGCGCATGTACCAGGGGCGCCGCATCCAGCCCACGCCCCTACAGGCCAGTCGAATGTTGCCGGAGTTCCCTCAGCCGGGCCTGCAGCTGGACACCATCTGGTCGCCGGCCACCAGCTTACAATGGCAAAGTTAGCCTCGCTCACGGAGGACTCGCAGCGTGACGTCCTTGGAAATCGGCTTTTTCCATTGGTTTACAATTATAGTCCAGAAAATGCTTCAAAGCTTACTGGAATGTTGCTGGAAATGGACAGTGCTGAGGTCATTCATGTGCTTGAGTCAGAACAGGCTCTTAAGGATAAGGTTTGTTTCGTTTAATTACCTTTATTTATTACGGAAGGGTAGTTCAATCTAACATTTTCGACAGAACAGGGAAAGCCTATTTAAGACAACTCTCGACATGGATGTGGTGTTTATTCTCCGAACACCACTCATGTTTTTGTAAATTTTGAGTCAAGAAATTTCTTTATACTGATGCTACTTTATTTGCGCTTTTGATATTTTTAAGCTGGACGAAGCCATGGCTATGATTCAAGCTCGTGCCAACGCCAGCCAAAAAGCTTCGGCTCCGAGCGAGACGGCAGGTGCAGGTGGGGACAGCTCAAAGGCTACAAATGCCGGGCCCACTACTTCCTCGATTTTGGCTGCTGCGGGAACTGGTGGATCTGCAACGGCTGGCGGCAGCAAGGAAACCGCAGCACCAAGTTGTATTGCCGCTGCCGGGAAGACTGGGAAACAGACAGAAGCCAAATAGAACTTCTGGTATGTCAATATAGTGAGGCAAATACATTTGTGTTATACCATAATGCCTATAAGCTGTGAAGTGGAACGGCGACTGTAGTGATAAAACCTTTCAACTAACGAGCGAGTCGAGCAAAACCTGTTGACTGTCTATCCTGACCAATTACTTGGGTGCCAGTAAGGCACTCGGGATTTTTCCCGCGCACCGTCTGTTTTTTGTCTGTCTGCTCGTCCCAGCGTTTGAACTCTTCTCTATCCATCTCGTCTCTATCACTACATACGTGTGCGGCTGTGCATTTATCGCTGTGGGCCACAGGGTTGTTTTGAAATAAATGCACAGTTGCACACGCATGAGTATAAATGTAAGAGAGATGAGATGAATAGAATTTAAATGCTGGTACATATAAGCGGTCAGCAAATGGATGTCCGTAGGGAAAATCAGGATAGGGAGTTTACTCATTTCGCTGAATCCAAAAATCTCGCGACCCTTACTTGTTAATTGGTAGTTCTCCGCTTCTCTTCATGTTTTATTTGGGCCGTGGCATAACACACTGGGCTTTGCCTTACTATATTTTCATGCTACGATATCTTGTTCTCTGACGATTTCTATATTTTCCGCATTTGGTTATACAAATAAACTTGTTGGAACTAAATGGAGCTTGTTGACGGAGTCCAAACTTTACACAATCTTGTCCGGATTATTCTCATGGGCTACCCAATTCTACTGGCTGGTTATCGATTATTGGAATCACACTTAATTTGAATGTAGCAGTAGGCCTCATATTTTTCATTCCGTCTTGTTTGCTGTATTCTGTGTACATATTGTCTCAAGCCCAAATCCCCCATATTTTTATTTTCAGTCTGTCTCTGGTGTAGCGAATTATTTATATCATTATACATTTTAAAAAATGACAGGCCAAGGAGAAACTTTAGGAGCTAAGTTTAGCGGTGGGGCTATCTTGACTCGAAATACCTCTCGGGCTGTGTTGGTTGCGTTCATCCTTCATTTCCATTATTTCTGTTTTTCGTCGATATCTCTGTAACGTAGGCATGCTCCGTTCAACAGACCCTCCATCCTGGTTAAATGGTGTTTAGATTACATTAGTTCCATCCCACCGCTCCGTTTTGGGTTGATTTGGAGAGAGTAGTAGCTGTAGTCTATTCTCGTCTCTGGGTACGCATATTCTAATGCATTTTTAACTTAGGTCGTTTCGAGTACGTCGTTCAATGTTCAAGTATTTATGTATCTTACATTCCATCTACACACTATTAACGTTTCAACTCTTTTTCTTTAAATTTTCTTCCCTGCTTTCTCAGGTTCTGTCTCGTGATAACTTTACCCTCTGTTTTGATATGGGCTGTCGTTGATCTATCTATTTTACCAGCTCTGCTAACTTATGACTTCAGGTGTCTTCTCTTCATGAACCATAAAGCATCTTTCCATCTTTTAAATTGTGCTGATTCATGATGTATTCAAGAATAATACAACCTAATTTTCGTTTTTAATACAAACTTCCCTTATCAGTCGATCCTCATTTTAACAAGAATATTCGTTGACCTTGAGTCCAGTTGCCATCCCTTCACACATCCAGCTATTATCCTGCTTACTCATAACTCTTAAGAATATTAAGGGATCATCTGTTCGTGCATCCAATCTTAAAATTTTTACCCTACCTTCATTTCTTCTTACTCATTATTATGTCTTCCGGTTATGGTTTATCTGACTCCTTCAGTTTGGTTTGTGTTCGGCTCATGCTTTGCCTCAGGTCCTCATTAGTAGAATTGGTTTCGAATAAAGTAACTCTTAGAGGTAAACTCTTGATTTATTTTACTAATTCCCTATTAAGGAAAAATTCCGACATTTTGCTTTTCCTATTACTTCTGTGGCTAACCGAGATTCGTACATTTTACCTGTTATAACCTCGCTTAATTTTACACTAATTTACTGCCTCATTGCAACTCGATAAGCTGCTCTTGATTAGGTATCCTCCTTTTCAACCTTGCACTAAGCTTGCCTTAGGAATGAAACTGGGTCGGATCACTCCGATCGCTCTAACAAATGACCATGCCAATTTCGTGACATTGCTCATGACAAAACAGGATGTCGGGCCTGTCTACACCTTTCACTGTGATTGCAGGATGT